AGCATGTTTTAGAGGTTTCTCTCTTCCAACACACCTGATCATTTGATTCAGGTGTGTTGGAAGAGAGAAACATCTAAAACATGCAGGATTGTGGCCCTCGAGGACCAGGATTGCCCACCCCTGCGCTAGACCGTACTTGTGACAAGACCACAAAAAAGCGAACCCAAATGCACGACTCCAAAACTCAAAAATGTTCTCAAACTGATTTATTTACAAAAGTATCAACAGAAATATCATTCAACAATAAAAAAAACAAAACTCAAAGCGTCACTCTAAGGAGGAGAATAAAGAACCAAAAATCACTCGATTGAGGAAATCCAAACTAAAAATCACTCAATGAGGAAAAAACTTAACAATCTTTCTAAACAAAGTAACAACTCAAACACTTGATTAGAAAAGAGGCTGAATACAAAGTAGCAAACAAAATACAAAACCTGAAGGAAGTTTCCACAAGGGACATGAACGGAAATCCTGGACATGAAGAGGGCTAGAACGTGAAGCTTGACTCAATGACAAGACAAACTGGCACAGGACAAAGGGAGACGCAGTCTATATATACACACACAAGGTAATGAGGAACAGGTGGAGACAATCAGGGCTGGGTAGACAATCAGACACAGGAAACACCGGGGAGAGGGCAAGCGTCCTGAAACACGAGGGCAAAGAGGTTTCAAAATAAAAGCCACGAGACAACACAAATACAAGACAAAAAACTAAATAAAACCTAACACCTGGTACGAGACATGACAACTTGCAAGTACAGACTAGCGATTACAGACTTGTGAGAACGCAAGTACGGACTTGCGTACTTGAGTATTGAGACACGGCTTATACTATGTTACAAGAGCACAGAGCGCTAGGATGGAGCTGGAGTAGCTGACGGACCGTGGAAACTGCAGGCCTGAGAATACACAGAGAGCAACAGAGGGTCGAGCCAGCAGGACGTGGGTGTGGGGCATTGGAGGGGGAACATGCGGCAATACCCCTCCTCTCAGATAAGTGATCCTTTTGATTAGATTTTTTTTTATTTTACCCTCCTGCATGCACTCCTGGCTGCTTTAGAACTTAGTGTATCCGAGCGTCTGAGTATTGACGGCGACTCCCCCCCCGACTCAGAACGTGTGAGAGCCGGACCGGGAGCAAACCAGATTGTGACAAGGCTGAGACTCCACCAGTATCTGGACATCTGACTCCTCAGATTAATATTTTATTCTTTTTTAAATTGTAATAAATTCTGTTGAACGTTTTAGTCTTTTATTTTATTACACTGCTCACTCCTGGATCTGAATCTTGTTTTCAAATGGGTCCTAGTCCGTCACTAGGTGGCGTTGTCTTTTGTCTCCATTTTTAAAGTTTTTTGTTTTTTTAAATTTGCTTTCACCCACCACTTGGCCACACTAGGAGAATTGAATGTTATGTTGTTATCCTGGTCTCAACTCTGAATGTATCTCTTTCACATTTTATGAGTGTTCAAGCCATCTTTCAGACCAAATGAGTGAAGAGCACAGAAATATGATTTGTAGGTTTCAAATAGAAGCAAGATCCTTAATTATCCTTATAGATTAAGGGTACATCAAGTGGCTGACTTATTAAATCAAGAATTTAACCTATTTATTCTCAGCAGTGTGTTGCATCATGATAGCAGCAAAAACAAGAACAAATCTGGAGTTAATAAAAATCAAAATGCAACAGCAGTAGCGTAGTTAAACTAGACTTAACATTTTGATAGTTTACTGTAGAGAAAATGTGGGGAGTCCATATTGACATCCAGTGCTGAATGATTAATAGAATGTTAGAGCATTATTTACAGCACCATAATACATATATCTATTTGATAAAGCATGATGTATCAGCAATAGTTATTTGTAATCTTATAGCTATACAAATAAAGGAGTCACACTAATTTAGGCTAAAGTCACTATGCTCTACCCTCAGGGAAAATTTGGTTTTGAAATGTTTAGTAGGCTGATTATTGATATTATGGTCTACACAGTCCACACTCTCTCCAGAGAACCCGGAGAGAACCCACGCTGCACAGGGAGAACATGGAGACTCCAAGCAGAAAGATCCCTTCTTGCTGCAAAGCAACAGTGCTAACCAATGCGCCACCTTGCAGCCTTCCTTTGTTAATATGATTATGAATTATATTACAATAATACAACATCAGCAGTCATCACATATTCACAGTTTTTGCTCTATTACAACATTTCTCAGAAGAGGTGTCAACATGCAGGATAAAAATGTCAGCTTGGTGCCCTTTCTGATTTGAGGCGCCTCATGATGGTGGTGGTTGCTAATGATCAAGGAAAAAAGTCTTACAGTTACAGAGGACCATTTTATCCTCAATTAGAAATCAGAGTGCATTTGCGAAATGAAAGCAGGCATTTATTCAAGAGCATAAGAAGTCAGATCAAAGGCAAGTAAGAAAGCAGCAAAACATGATAAACACAACAACTAGTCAACCTTATAATCCCTGAGAGATCTTTGAAAATACAATTAAACACTGGGAACAAACCAACATGTCAATCAAAGCCTTGTGTCTGAAATACAGACAAAAAAAGAATGTGCATGTGAAAATGTGCTTTGTAATAACTCACTGAAGACAGAAAAGAACCAACATATTTATAAATGTGCTTTGGTTTTACTGGATAACCCCTGTCCTTTTTTTTCTAGCAAAAGTGCTGCTGTTTCAGTGTTGTGTTTTCTTTGAAACAGAGACTCTTTTTATTTCTGTACCTAGTTTGAAGCATCATTTAATATTTCCCTGTTTGTCCACTATTCCTAATATCTACCTAATCCCAGTCAAGGGCAAAACAAGTTGGTGAAAACAGCCACTTAAGACAAATGACAGGGACTCACGACATAAGCATTTGACTCATTGGATTAATAAAATCATTAAACTGTATAAAAACCCTTGCCATTCAACTCGGGTCCCAACAGTGTTTCACCTTGTCTGTTTTGAAGCGAGGTGCTCTCTGTCTTGTTGAGAAATGAAAGGGTGTTAGTCTCGGCTCTTGCAACTCTCGACGAGCCCTTCCGCCGGCCTGCATGTCTCCATTGCTCAACGACATTGATTACCTGATGCAAGCAAAAGCCAAGTTTGCCGCTCTGATCATTAATCCTACTGCAACGCCGCTCTTAAACAACAGCCCCCTACCCTCACCCCCTCACTTCTTTCCCTTTCCTCCCTATTTCTGGCATTTATTGAAGTAACAGGGGCACAGACTAAATGAGGCCTGAGTGATGGAGGGTTTGCCAAGCAGAATTTTTCTCATGCACAGGGTGGAGCCTGCCATCATCTGACAAGAGCTTTGAATTTTCATAATACTATATGGCATGGAGAGAAAATTCCCATTGAAATCAATATTTCATGGCAGGGGTGAATCCCTAGTGGAGCAGCTCTGTAAATTGATTTGAACAGAAATATGTTTAGATTTTCATTTTACAAACTGATGGTGTTGCTGACACAGGTGAGGACCTGTGTTTCTCCAACTTCTAAGAATAACACTTAAGGATGCGCTAAACAACCAATTTAAGACTGAAAACATTCTACACACATTTATCAAGCTATTTACTCCAATTTGTCGCAAAAAGAATGCTTGTAGGCAAAATGTAGGCCTAACCTTTAGGAACATTTTTCAAGTGATCACATGATTAATTGCATTCATTCTCTTAGCAGAAATAGCCTATCGTGTTGTTGCAGCCCGTTGAGGAGTGCAGCTGCATTGTATATGATGTTAACGTTTTATTTTTTCCATGTGTTTGCCAGGATACCTCTTTTTCTATACGTTACACATAAACTAACAAATAAACTCAATAAAGAAAAAAAAAAAAGAAAGAAAGTGACATCAGGACAATCCCATTTCTACCATATTAACTATTCTTTTCATAAAATAATTCTGTTTTTCTCAGTGATTTTAATGGTGTAATAACCATAATATTCAAATTAACAAATGGAAGGTCAAATTAACAATAATACACAGTATTTTAAATGTATAAATAGGAATGAAATGACAGACACTTGGCTGAAATCTGAATAGAATTAAACCTGAGCAGGAAAGAAGACCTGCTGCTTGTAGACAAGCTACATCAGAGAAATGGTATAATAGCAATAGCACTCTGATGCAAACTGATAAATGCAGACAAGAGAACTGCATAGAAAGTGACTGCAAACAAAATCAGTGCTTGTGTTGTTTTCACACTGATAAATGTTCTGCTGTGAAACCGTATGTCTTGGCATTCATGTGAATGTTATTTTGACAACCATGTCCCCAAAAAATTACAACCCCACAAAACTAAACTGCATTCTCAGTTACACGTTGAAGAAAATGTAATTTTGTTTGCAAATAAACATATTTTATCCCTTGTAATGTTGTCAAAAGGCAGCCAGTTTGACCACGTGACCACGTGAGGAATATGGAGGCATAAGTCAACAACCAAACTCTCCCCAAGACGACCAGGGTTCTCAGCCTGAGAGGGACCATTACTCCCACACTTCAGTTTTGTTTTCATTCACTTTCTGTTTGGGTGTAGGCACCAAAACAATGTGGTTTGGTTAAGGAAAAGCCCAAACTATGGTTGACACATTCAGTAGGATAATGGTAGGCTTGGTTGAACTTAGGCACCAAAGATATGTTATTTGTGATACATCATAAACAATCCAGCAACTGTTTCCCTCAAAATATAACTGAGATTGTAGTCTACTTGTATTAGAACATATTTTTGTGGAGGCAGAATTGACTTAGACACATAGCACATACCTAAACATGACAACACAGGGCTCCAGACTCACTTTTTCACTGATGGCACCAGTGCAACCAACTTTCTTATTTGGTCGCACCTCCCACCAGTCACAAGCAAAACATGTGTCTCGCTGAACATTTTCTTATTGATAGACAGTAAAATTTACTGATTCTCCCTAAATGCCCCACATTGCGGACTGCAGTGTGCTCAGGCAGGTACGCAACCAAAAATTACTTTAAAGAGAATAAACAAGGGCATTCTAAATGTCACATTTGTCCAAGATGAGAATGAGTTATCAGTGCCACGTACAGAGTGCGAGTAGGGCTTCATGCAAAGCCCGAGGCCACTATTGTTATCCTGGTGCGCCTTTTCTTATTATTTCGACTCTTCCGTACAAAATTTCAGTCGGCTACTCCTCCCACAGATTTGAGAGCACCCACACAAATTATGCATCAAAACGTGTTCGTTCTCGATCGGGAATAGTGTGCTTGCATACAGATTTACAAAAATTGCATTTTTCGCGATGCAATTCGCAAAAACATCGTAAAAATCTCCCATTGAAAATGAATGGGACGGACGAAAAAAATCACACAAAATTACACTGCTTTTCAAACCTCCACTGCTCAGGCATACTTTCACCTAGAGAATCCATTTCAACTTTAAAATGTTGACGCGCCCTTCCCCTGTTTCAAAGACTTTCGACTTTTTTCATATCATCACTCGTTTCTTCGTGACAACCTCTCAAGTTTTGAAACTTTTTCACCCCTTTTCAGCCTTTACAATGGGTGTGTATGTGGTCCTTTAGAGTGAGTGATGACATCACTAGAGTGGGAGCTCAGAAAAATCTCACACAGTAAACTTTTTTTTAACTTGTCGCCCTGGCCACAATTTTTATGCCACAGACATCATTTTTACATCAAAACATAGGAAAATTTGTCCTCCCGCTCACAATGTTACTTTGAAAGCCAACAGAATTAAGTTTGGGGGAGTTTTGGAGCCTTGTTCCTCCACAAGTCTCTCTTCCTTCCCCATCTGCCCCCATTCAAAGACGGCTACTGATTTTTCTCAAGGACCACAAATTTACACATTACTTCTCAAGTGATTGTGCGCTCATTTTGTACTCTAAGAAAATAAAAAAATATATCTCTGTATTGCCTTGGCAAGGTCTTGGCTTTCTGAAAATGTGCTCGGCTTTTCTCTCCGACACATAGTTTTGAAGAAAATGGCGGTTGTTTGAGGTCTTCTCCTTCTGGTCACTTCGACTGATTTGAAAATTAAACCAAGTATCTGTTGCAGCTGTGTGCTTTGTTGCCCGGCAACGCTCTAACCCTACTCCCCCCCCCCCCCGCTCCCTCCATACAGCAACAGCCCTTCACACAGCTGAGGCTTAGGTTATTCAAAATTTTTAGTGGGTTTGGTAATTACAAAATAGTCATTTAAAGGTCCCGGCAGAGTCCCGTGGCACTACCAAATTTTCTGCAAGGAAATTTTCTACTTTTATTTACACCCGCCCTTTTCTATGAGCGAAAATGAGCGGAAAAAATGTAGGTGTGCTTCACTTTTCACGAGAAGACCACATTTCTAAGTGTAAATGCTACAGTACACCGAAGTAATACAAGTACCGCTTTCCACCACTGTGGTGAACACAGCAGCTTCCTGTGCCGGTTGCAGCGACACAAATACAGCTTAATGATCATAATGCACTCACACCAGTGAGACGGCTTGAAATTTTAACTCGCACACTCTCAAAAAAAGGTTGCAAATGCGACCATTTTGGTCACAACTCGGAGCCTTGCTCCCTCAGCTGGACAACACACCATGCCAGACCACAAAAACTGCTCAGGAACACAAACACATCCCTAAGCCAGATTCCAAACTCCCCAGATCCCAATCCAATCAAGCATCCATGGAATGTCACAGATCAAACCTGACCCATGGAGGCCTCACCCCGCAACACACAGGGCTTAAAGGATGCAATGCCAACATCCATGAGTCAGACCCCATAAGTCCTGTGTCCATGCCCCAGCTGGTCAGAGCTATGTTGGGGAGAGGAGACCTCCACGTTAGTAGGTGCTCACAAGCAGACCCAGTCCTTCCAGGGGTCCACTGCAGATGGACCACTAAAAAAGGCATAAGAAATAGAGACAGGTGAACAGAAGATATTGTCACTCAAGTTAAAAAAAAAAATTAAAAAAAAACTTGCTTTGGCCATTGAGTGTACATATTATTTTACAGTGCTACCACAGACTAATGGCACTGACTGGATTATTTTGTGTTGCCTATCGTGTACAGAAAATTTGAGGTTGTAAATGAAAGTAAGTGAAGCTGTGTGGCTGATGTGCCTTTTTGTTTGCATCTGAGAAGCGACATCCAGTGGTTCTGAATGTCATACACAGAGCCTTTAAAGTTCAAAGGTTTTTTACCTTTATATATTTTTTTAATAAAACTTAACTTGTGCAGTTCCAGTTCCAGCAGGCACCGAAGTCCACGTAACTTACATCTTGGTGTCGCTGAAGATCTAGAGGACTAAAATCCAAGTTGTATTATTTAAGTTTACATTTAAAGTTGAAACAGGTTCTGGGCTCTGGCATACTTTTGTTTTAAAAAAAGGAAATCAAAACAGAGAACCATTATTTTTAGAATTGCGTCTTTACCCTGGGGAAGTCACCGCCAACACATCCATCAACACAGTAGCCCTGCTGCATGTCCTCAAAACCACAATCAAATATGAGTTCTGTGACACCCACACATCAAGTGGCGGACACACTGACTGCGAAGAATTTTCACACCAGGTAATTATCTGCTGTTTTTCGTTGCCTTTGGGAGGAAAGTGGGCAAGGCCGGCTGAGGAGGAGAAGGAGTGGTTGCAGGGGGTGAGCTCTCCCTTACACCCTTAGATGTGAGGGTGAAAATTACACAGCCTCCTTGGTGGGCCTGGAGAGCCACCAGACCTCATCAAGCAGCAGGTGAGCACTTTTTTGCATCCTTTCCTCAATGTCGTCCCATCGAGTATAAATAGAACAATATGGCAGGACAAGTCACATCTCATTTGGTGTGTTGTGTTTCAGAGCACCTCCGCTGAGACGCTGGGCAGTGAGGGCAGCTGGCAGAAAGCAGAGCTCCACTAGTGGACAGAGGCCAGGCTTGGAATTTACAGTCCCCGCTGAGAAACCATTCTTTGAGCCCTTCAGTCGTACCCTGGTGTGTACTAACACACAATGAGCAACATTCTGGGCTTTTTCTCAAGAATTGCGATGGTGTTTTTGCAGATACTGCAAGTAAGGGTTAGTTTGATCTAAAAAGCTAACACTGCTTTAAAAAAAAAAAAAAAAAAATACAGAGCCTCCAAAATCAAACTACACAATGTTAGGTTGGCCTCCATGGTGTATTTATTACCAAGAAATCAACAAAGTTTGAGCCAATGCAAATCGAAACTCAGAAAATGAACTGTTAATGATCTCAATAATACACACAATATAGGGAGTAATGTTACAGGGTGCAAGCTCTCTGAACCTGCTTTTGATGTTCTTTTTTTTCTTATCGATGCAGATTTTTTTTTTTTTTAAATCACTTCCTTCTGACTGGTCACCTGGGCTCAGACAACAGCAGCAATACACGTTTGTCATAGGGCTGGGTGATTTAAAAAAATAAAAATAAAAAATCCATCACGAGAAAGCATTTTATTAGGGTCCGAGCACTCCAGTGCAAGGACCCTATTGAAACCCATGTGATTATTAGGGTCCGAGCACCCAAAAGGGTGCGAAGACCCTATTGGAACTGCTCGGATTATTATTATTATTATTATTAGGGTCCGAGCACCAAAAGGGTGCGAAGACCCTATTGGAACTGCTCGGATTATTATTATTATTATTATTATTAGGGTCCGAGCACCCAAAGAGGGTGCGAAGACAGGATACAGGGTCCTCTGGTCAGAAGTGAGGCCTGCACAGAGGCTAAAGTGATGGATGTCGAAGGGATGATGATCCTAAATATATGGCCAAAGAAATCAAAGACCTTTCAGGTTGGAGGAGTGGAGAATTGACTAGCTATGCTGCATTGCACTTGCTTGTGATTTGCTTAACATCAAAGGCAAATATATCTCACAACAAGCCAGAACTGAAGGTGGCAGTGCAGGGAAGGCCTGAGTGAACATCACTAGGGAAGATCCAAAGTGTCTGCTGAGGTCTGTGGATTAAAGTCTTGCACTGACTGCAAACAGTTTTCAGCAAAATATTGCACTTATTTATTTTTTTTTGACTTCATGCCTTTCAAATTGCTCCAGCACAGGTATTTTAAAATTGACCATCCCAAATTACAGCTCAGACTTGACACTTCACTAAAGTGTCTGTTGATTAAAATTGAATTAAATGTCTTAAAACACGTGACGTGACAAACGCAATAAAAATGTCTGTATCTGCCCAAATACTTATTGTCTGGATTACTAATAGGACACTATGGTGTGGAATGGACTGTGGTCATTTGGTCACATTTGCAAAATTTAAATGAGAATTAAAAAGGACACCTATAAATTCATAAAATCAGAATCAGGGGTTCCAAATGTGGGGCCAATGGTAAGAAAAAAACTCCTTTGGGAGTGACAGGAGCAACTTGTTTAATTTACACTTCTGATATCTTTTGAAGGTCTAAGGGGTTCACAAGGCCTTCACAAAAGGGATGTGGGTCCATTTAAGTCTCTCAAAGGTTTTAAAAATATTTCTAAACAATGTGATGTTAATCAATCCCTCTCTGCACCAGGAAAACCCCCACGGACGAAGGCACACACGGGCACCGGATCTTCTCGCACCACCCTCGGAACCCTCCTTCACGGACCGCGGCACAGAAGACCCCCACTCCTCCCTCACCACGACTGGCATCCCTGCACCAGATCCCGTCACCTGGCTACTCCCCATTTTTTCCCTTTTTGAAAATAAAAACTTTAACTTAACTTTTTTCCCTCCTGTCTCCCTTTCGTTGTGGATCCGCCCTTACAATCACCGAGCACGACCTGTCACAGGGCACATGCAAGAAAACCTTTCAACATCTGGAATTTTGCCAGAAACAGTGGTAAAAACCAGAGAACGGTGACCATTTATGTCAAATCACTGCATAAATGAGTTCTGCTTATTTTCTATGCTATCCTCAAAGCCCAAGGCTGTTTAGTTTTCCACTAAAGAATATCTATTGTCATTTTTTGTTGAATTAATGACTTAAAAGCAAAACTGTCTAGTTGCATGTGTGTCGGTATACCACATATATCTCTTTCAAATAAAATCAGCTGTCTTCTTATACAAACATTTTTAAGAAGAAGAATTTTATTTATATAGCATTCTTCTTATACAAACATTTTTAAGAAGAAGAAGAATTTTATTTATATAGCACCTTTCACAGAAAAAATCACAGAGTGCTTCACACAAGACAACATAGTATAAACAGTATAAGGTACATCATGTAGATAAAAGCAGGCCAACAGAAATCCTATCAAATAAAAGCTTGTCTAAACAAATGTGTCTTCAGCTGCTTTTTAAATGACTCAACAGAATCTGTTTCACGGAGGGACTGAGGAAGGGCATTCCACAGTTTAGGAGCAACAGCCTGAAAGGACAAGTCACCTCTGGTTTTAAAGCGGGTCTTAGGGACCATGAGGAGGTTCTGGCCCGAGGACCGAAGGGTGCGACCAGAGGAGTAGGGGCACAGCAGATCACAGACATATTTAGGGGCCTGGCCATGCAAGGCTCTAAAAGTCATAACTAGTATTTTAAAATCTATTCAAAATTTAATGGGGAGCCAGTGCAGGGAGTACAAAACAGGCATAATGTGAGTCCGTCTGCAGGATCTTGTTAAAAGCCTTGCTGCAGCATTCTGAACCAGTTGGAGGCGATTTAGAACAGATATGTTAAAACAAGTAAAAGGAGAATTGCAATAATCTAAACGAGATGAAATAAAAGCATGAATCACCAGTTCAAGATCAGAATTTGATCAAATTGGCCTCAATTTAGCAACGTTTCTCAAGTGATAAAAACAGTTTTTGACCAAAAGTCTAGAATGGCTGTCAAGAGACAATGATTGGTCAAACCAAACACCAAGATTTCTGATGCTTGACTGGACTGAGGAGCCAAGAGATCCAAGGTGGCTCGCAATGGAGGGGATTTTCTGCTCTGGCGCAATTATTAAAGTTTCAATCTTTTTAGAATATAGCTGAAGACAGTTTTGAGTAAGCCATGTCTTGACACTTGACAGACAATCCAATAACTCTGTTGCCTTGTGTAACTGAGACTCCTTAAAAGAAAAGTACAATTGGATATCATCAGCATAGAGGTGATAGGACACATTTTTAAAATGGCTGATGATTTTTTCCAAGAGGGCTAATGTACATCAAAAACAAAACTGGCCCTAAGACCGACCCCTGGGGGACACCATGTCGCAGAGGAGTAGCTTTAGACATAATGTTATTCAAATGCACAGAGAATGTTCTATTGGTCAAATAGGAGGACAACCACTTCAGGACAGTCCCAGAGATTCCAAAGTCACTGTTCAGTCTCTGAAGCAAAAGTTTATGATCTACTGTATCAAATGCTGCTGACAAGTCCAGTAGAATCAGAACTGAATATTGACCAGAGTCAGCGGCCATCCGGATGTCACTGGACACTTTTAGCAGGGCAGTCTCCGAAGAGTGCATCTTACAAAAGCCAGATTGAAATTGGTCCAACATTTCATTGTTGTACAGGAAATCAGTCAGCTGCTCAGCCACCACTTTCTCCACAATTTTTGAGAGAAAGGGTAATTTTGATATGGGCCTAAAATTGCTAGGCTCAGCTGGATCCAAATTGTGCTTTTTTAAAATGGGAGTTATCACGGCCTGTTTTCAAAAACTTTGGAACAGACCCAGTGGAAAGAGAAACATTGATCAGATTAACAACATGAGGGGCAACAAGGTCAGTTACCTAATAAAACAAAGATGTGGGTATGACATCAAAAGGGCAAGAAGATGGTTTCATTTTACCCAATAAAGCCGTAATGTCGTCCAATGTCACACTAGAAAACACAAACCAGGAGCAAGTAGTAGATGAAACACAAGTGGTGGTCACACCAGAAGGTTTTACATTAGCCCTGCTCTCCTCCACTTTGTTCACAAAATATTGCAAAAATCTGTTACAATCATCAACGGTGCAAACAGGCACCGATGGAGCCGAAGGGGAAACAATTTTCTGAATTGTATCAAAAACAACCTTTGGGGTTCTCTTGTTCCTATTCACCAGATTAGCAAAGTAGGCTAACCTAACCTGTTTTATCATGTTATTAAAAGATGCAATAAGCTCTTTTAAATGCAGCCTGTGCACCTCCAATTTTGTGGATTTCCACAGACGCTCTACCTTGCGACAAGTTCTCCTGAATGAAGCAATTGCTTCATTTAGCCACGGTTGTGAAGTTTTAAGAGAAACTGTTTTGAGCTTTAAAGGTGCCACCACATTCAGCACAGACTCACAATGGTCCTTGAAGGCATTAGTATAGGAGTCAGCATCATTACCAACTCCATCAAAGCAAGGCTGAAACAGCTCCGAAAAGTTTGCCACAACAGTTTGGTTTATAATGCGCTTTTGGCACACCAAATTAAAATACACACAACAATGATCAGACACAAGAACATCCACCACAGTAAGACAATCAATGCTCAGGCCAAAAGACAAAACTAGATCCAAAGTATGTCCTTTGTTATGTGTTGGACCAGAAACATGCTGCTTTAAATGAAATGAGTCTGTGAGTGCTAAAAACTCTGATGCTACAGCACAAGAAGTGTCATTTACGTGGAAATTGAAATCACCAGCAATCAGAACTCTGTCAAGTTTAATCATCATAGGGCCCCCCTATAGCTCACCTGGTAGAGCGGGCGGCCCATGAACAGGGGCTGTAGTTCCCCGATGCAGCGGTCGTGAGTTCGAATCCCGCTCACGACCCTTTGCTGCAGGTCTGTCCCCATTCTTCTCCCCCCTTTCCTGTCTCCCTCTACTGCACTAAATAAAGGCAAAAGCCCAAAAAAATATATAAAAAAAAAAAAAAAGGTTAATCACTAATGGAAAAGAATTCAGAAATCTCATTAAAAAACTCACGTGCAGGACCAGGGGGTCGGTAGATTAAAACACAATAAAAAGAGTCAGTGTTTCCAACCTTAGTCATCTGAAGCTCAAATGAGTTGAATGGCTCCGGCTTCATTTGTCTGCACGGAAAGTAGTCCTTGTGAATGAGCGCAAGTCCACCTCGCCGTGCGACCCGTGGGGTCCCAAACACGGAACAGTTCGGAGGGCACAGCTTGTTCAGGTGTGTATACTGCTTTTCCCTCTGCCAAGTTTCCGTCAGGGCCATGAAATCAAGGTTCTCATTCAGGAACAAGTCACTCAGAAAGCATGCCTTGTTCGCTATGGAACGTGCATTTAGCAGACCAAAACGCATTGACTGTGCACGCCCGGCTGGAGATGCGCGCAGACTGGCATGGCATCTCGGCGCAGTCTGGGTGATTTCCTCCACAGCGATGGCTCGTAGGACACGCTCACGCGAAGGGGGGATCCGGGCTTGTCGAGTTGGAAAGGACCAATCAGACTGCAACAGGAGCGTGGAACCATCGGCTGGTGTCGTGCGGGTTGACTCCCAAGTCAGGCCCTGGACGGGAATCTGCCGTAAGCAGCGCTGATCGCCAACAGCACCGGACCCGGCCACCCAGGACGTGTACCCCCTCTGCTTCCTCCTCCTGGATTGTACACCAGCCCGTGAACCCCTCTTCCTTCTCCTGCCACGACACTTCGCTACCAGCAAATACTCGGGGGATGACGAGGCACATTCAAAAGGTGGAAGGAAAAACTCCTCATATCTGTACCAGGTAACACACACTTTCTTCATGTGTTCCTTCATGCCAAAAAACGCATGACGGTCATAGTGAATGGCAGCTGAGACACAATTTTTGGTTCACAGGCACAATATAGCAACATGTAATGTTATTAGAGCAAGTAAGCGACCGAGCAGAGAGGCAGTGAACGCAAATCCAAACACAGGCGCCATCTTCCTGCCGGAATTGGCCTTCCACTTAATGAGAATTAATCATCAAGCCAACAATGAAGCAACTGCTGTGAAAAGCCAACCCTTTTCTTTTATTTTTACACATGACTGTATTTGGTGAACAGTTCAGCTACCTTTTCATTTCTGAACTTGGTTTTCAGGGTGCTACAAGTTTTTACCTTTATTTTTAGCTAAGCACACAAAAACACACAAACTCTCTCTCACACACACAGATAAAGTGAAAACAAGGGCAACCACAGCAAATCCTTTTATCAAACCCCAGTGAGTCAATCAATCTGTATTTACTGAAAAGTTGTTGCATTCATTCAGCCTTCATCAGCTTAGCACTGCACCCTGCATTTTGGCATGTATAGCTATGAGCCAATGGAGGGTTAATACCGACAGCTTCCTTCATTAGGTATACAGTAGGTGCAGGAGAGAACAGAACAATAGAGGACTCACCAGTATCTCAAGAGGCTCCCAGCAAAACATGGATTAGGTGGAGATTATTAAATGTCAGCTCTTAAGATGAATACTTTTTACAGCCTCAAAGTAAATCAATACTACTTATCTTTGATAAAAGAGGCAGAGTAGATGTGCCAGCATAGCAGTCTGACAGCTTCTTCTTTCTCTCTTTCTCCTCCAAACCCCTACTAATCAAATTCAGGAATCCCATAGGAATGTTTTCAAAATGCATTATAGTGCATTTGTGATTTTACATACCTATATGATTCTTAACTATATAGCGTATAGTCCAAAATGTCTATTTCCATCTTTGTTTTCTTCTGCCACTGACAGTCCTGCTTTCTCTGTTTTTCTTTTCTATTCTTTTTTTTCTTTTCTTTTTTTCTAAAGGCTTTATAAATTAAATTTCCTGGCATGGGTCCAATGTGTGACACA